ATAGTCCGGAGATATTGCTAGGCTAAATAAACAGCTGAGCTCTGTTTACAGGCTACGCTGTCAGTCAGTGTGCGGGCTGGAGATTGGTGGAGCAGAGAGGGGAGGGGGTACCCGCTTGGTAGTGTAAACGAGAATGTGTGTATGGAGTGTGTGTGTTACACTAGAAGAGTCAGAGTTTGGGACAGAGTGTTACCGGAGTTTTTGGAGTGCTCAAATAAACGGGCCTTTTTCCCGAACCCTCCTCTGGTCTCCTGCTCGTGAGGGATTCATTACAGTATCGTAACATGGCTTAGATTTCTAAATAAACATTCACCTCATGGCTAGATAGACCTACTCCTGAAAAACTCGTGTCTGCGCAAGGCTTTTTGTCCCTACGAGGCCACCGTCATTTACCCGACGGGAGGGGTGAGCAAGTGAGCCCTGCAATCTAGAATTTGACCACTGATGTCACTGTTTTCAACCCATTTTACACACTGGCCCTTTAAATACTCTATACGAATGTCAGATATAGCCTAGTGATACCTACTCTAATTTAAGTCTTGGCCAACAGTGAATTTTTGGATAGTATTTTCAATGTTTCACTTGTGGCTGGATAGGAAAACCCAGAGTTGACTGAACTAACAACCAGCTTTGTAGTGCTGGTCATCCAGACGGACAATATTAGGATTAGTCAAGCCAGATAATGAAAATATATCCTGAGCAAGTTGAGCTGGCCTCATAGTAAAGGCCTCATGTGTATGTGCTCACAGATACAAGCAAAATGATGAGTTGCTCATCCAAACATTCCTTGAGGTCATAGTGCCAAATTTGTCCACATTGCAAATTTACTGTTTTAAGCTGCACTTGTTTTTCATATTAACAACAGAGCAAATGATCATGAACTTATTGAGAGCTGTCATCAACTGACTATACAGTTTCTCTCAGCTCCACACAGGATTTAGCCTCTTTTAGTTCATTCTTATGGTTTTAAGGCCTTCTGATGTATTGTTTTTCAGTCTCACTGCTCTCATCCACCTAGTAGTGATCTGCGCACCAATAATTTGCATGATAAAACCTCCTATGAGTTGAAACATGTATATATATCACCCTTTCGAGTTTTGATGCTTTTTGCAAAATATGGTGTCAGTTTCTCTGCAACACCCAGTATGCACAGTAGAGATGCGCGGATGGCGTTTGAGTGCACCCGAATCCTCATGCACTCATCAATCATCCACCCACCACCCACCCGACGTAATTATCTTCTAAAATTTAGAGACCCACACCCAACCCGCACCAAACATTAAGTTATCGTATTTACATTTAAATTAAGTCCAGCCGTTCGTGCTCATTGACTTTTCATATAGGCACATTTTCTTGACTTAAGCAATGAAAAGATTATAGGCTACTTTCAAATGTGGTCACATTTCTGGTGTAAAAATTACTCTAGCCTAATATTGTTTGCTCTGTTGCGATAATAAAAGTCTTTGAAGTAAGTCAAGTCCTCTTGTGCCCTGTTTTATGGAGGGTACGGTCCACCCGCAGTCCACCCGAAATTAATTAGAATGTTAATTTTTATTGGCCCACCCACCACGGATATATCTGCAAGATTTGCATCTATATATATATAAACACACAGAGGGATTAATAAATAACGGACCGTCTATAATGTAGTTTGTTTCAAATTAAGCTGGGAGCCTCTGCAGCTGTAGTGAGTAAAAGCCCCGTCGCTATTTGTTAATGTTATTACTTTATGGCCGACCGTGAGGATGTACCATTGTTTGCTAGCTTGATGCTAATGACAGTAACGTTAACTCAGCGGGTTGACAAAGTGCCTCTGCTGTTTCACACCATCATTTCCCCCTTTTACTCTGTGTGGTAACATCCCGAGAGGAAATATTAAAAACGCTGGGGTGTTGTTGTCATACTGTACAGTTGTCTACGGCAGCAGATCGTTCTGTGTTTCTACTGGTCAAAGTGACGGCTATGATGGGAGAACTGGATCTCAGTGAAGGACCAGTGGTCCATAACTTTAATTTTGGAGACAAAAAAATGTAGGCTTAGCGCCCTGTGGTCCATTGCCCATAGGAAATGTAGAACACTCAAAAGTACTTTAAAAGTGCTTGAGTTACTTTTCTCAGGGAGTAATGTTTGAAGTACTTTTAAAGTAATTGAGTTACTTTACTCAGGAAGTAACGCAGTAAAGTAACTGGTTACTTTTTTAAAAAGTAGCGCAGTAACGTACTTTGATTACTTTTAAAGTAACCCTTACCCAACACTGCTCATGACCATATTTGGGTGAGAGCCTGGAGCTGTAGAGGAGCGAGGGGTGGATCTGACTGAGAGCCCAAGGACACTATCGTCACACAGCCGACAGGAAGTTAGCTATAGACACAAAAAAAAAAACGTTTTTTGTACCAGGCTGTAAATATGTTTATTTCTGCTGTAGAGTTGGGCATTTTAACAGGGGGGTCTACAGGGATTGACTCACTATGGAAGCTAACCTCAAGTGGCCGTTCAAGGAACTGCAGTTTTTGGCACTTCAATGTTGGTTTCATTTTTCAGCCCTGGAGGCTGCAGCTTGGCAGTACCCTATCATAATAGCAAGGGGGAGAGTAAAGGCTCATTTATGCTCAACGTTAAATACGGACCCGGATACGGACGGAGCCTTCTGTCTGTGCTCCGCGTTCATTTCATCTGTATTTCTGCACATTTCCATAAAGCTTATGGATACGGGCCAAACGGAGCAGTACCACCGGAAACCATGGGGGCAGTGTTGCTGTCACTACCCGATACGTAGCTCTAGTGAGACACAAAGAAGAAATAACAATGGCAGAACTTTTTCGCCTGTTTTTGTCTTTTATGCAAGAGGTACATTATCAATATCTCCTCCACAGTCGCCATGTTTGTTTTTGAGTTTGTTGTCATAAACTTTTGACTCTGGGCTGCCCCCTGGTGGATATATTGGTTAACATCCATGCCAACATAAAGGATGCATGGAAGTATGTGGGCAGTGACGATAACATCGTTTGAAACGGATGTATACATTGTCGTACGTAAAGGGAGCATAAATGGGCCTTAAGGGATTAATGAGCACTCCAACATTCAACAGGCTGACTTGGTACTGGACAGCATAAAGAGTCAAACTTTTCCCTGAGCTGAAAGATTTTCAATCATTTTCCATTCTTTGGGGATTTCTAAACCACTGTAGTACCCTGCATTTCTGTTGGTCTTGAGGGCTCAGGGCTGTATTGGGCTGTTACAGGAATCATGCTGTGGGCTGAAAGAGCTTGTGACAATGTATTTGTCACACTCTGACTGACCTCTAAACAGTTGGGTTGAAGCCCAGGGGCACTAACACAAGTCTCAATAGTGTAAAACTACAAATCAACACCACAGACACTGATATAGCCTAACAGAGGTCGTGTACCCTCACCTTCGTGACAGAGCTTGTGGAAATTGATTTCATTGACAAACTCAGTCGGCAATGTGCTGCTTCCATTCATTGCATTTAAATCTTCTTATATTTCGGCCTGGCATCTAACAATGAGGCCATTCAGCTAATGAAAAGGCAGCTGCTTCATGTGAATGTTGAAAATTGAGTAATGAATGCAAAGTTTTCCCTGGAGGTTTAATTAATGCAAATATCCATTTTCAGTGCTGTCAAGTTATAGTCAGTACTGTTTGCAAGCAAACCATCACCACCACCAGGTATAGCTCTTCATCAATATTCATGGTTTCCAGCAGATGTATGATTTAGGTAATATCCTGACCTTTTCCTAAAGCAATAAGACTTTAAATACTGACTACTGTAAAGGGCCACACATTTAAAAGAAGTTAAGCAGAGTATTTACTGAAATTAAAGGAATAGTTTGACATTTTATGAAATCAGTGTTAATTTGAGAAGGTGTAAGGTAGCCTATTGCATGCAATGTTTCTGTTGGACAAAGTATTAATAACTTACACAGAAGACTGCTTTGTCCCTTTTTGACCTGCGTGTCGGAACCTGTGATATTTACAGGAATCGACAATGGCATCGTCCATAGTCCCAACTCTATGTCACAGTTTACATTGTCATACTGCCCAACCATAGTCAACAGTGTCAACAATGACCTGTACAAAATGGGGGGAAAGACACTATCAGAATAGGTTTTGTTGACTTGTATTTGATGGGAATGACAGTTTGACATCAGTGTGGAAGAACCACCATTTTCCCCCACCATCAGCATCACCATCATTTCAAAATTCAAGAATACACTCCTCTGGATGAAGCATGTTCTAAAGAGAGTATGAGATGAAGTGAAGGCAAAAAATAGATCCATGCAAGCAGATCTTTAATCATCCACTTTCTCCAGGCCGATTTTCCCAACCCACACAGCCATCTGAACCACTAACCTTTAGGCTCTCACCACCCTGAAAAGTACATCTTCTGTTAGTGTGGAAAGTTGGCAAATATCATTTGAGGGTGGATAGTGGCAGCACTGAGGATGCAGCTAGAAGAGGCGGTAATGAATGAACACAGGGCCAAACCATAATCCTCCCCGAGGGGCTGTTTATCAGAGCCAACACATCCTTCAGCATTTGCACGTGCACACACACATGACATGCTGCTGTGATGAAGAGAGCGCTAATACGAGCCTTGCTTCCATGCTCCTGATGAAATACCGCCCTTCCCCATTAGGAAATTTAAAGTCAGGGCTATAGGACAAACTACAAATCACTAAAATATGTTTTACTTTTGTTATAATTAACTTCCCAGAAAACACTTACGGCCATTCATTCATTGTTACCTCCATTAGTCACTTCTCACTTCTATGCCCTCACTGTGTTAGAGCCATTATACAAAAGCTTGTAGTAAGAGAAGAACTGTAGAAGCACAAGAAGTCCGCAACACAGCACCACTTTCCCCACATGAACCATCACTCAGACAGGAACCTAAATCACTGTCTATGCAATGTGAATAAAAACAGTGCATTTCATCATCTACTTGTCAACAGTGCACAAGCGCCTTACTGTGGACTCACCAGATGTATGGACTCCTTATCTGCAGATCCCTCTGCACTGTTAGACGACTGCTGGGGCCTGGTGCCAGGATGCATGTTCTAAATGAGACAACAGGATAAAAAGTGTGAATGTAAATGAAAGACTCAGCATTTCGCTTTATTGAGTAAAGTATAAAGGATATGTGGTAGATTAAACTGTGCATAACTGAGCATCAGTCATCTTCAGACAGATGCACTTAGTAGAGTGCAGATCTCTCTTCTTCTAATTCCAGCAGACATGCCGCAGAGTGTTTCAGAAGCATCCCAGAAGCAAATAAAAATACACACATCTATTTGTGACAGAGCTGCAGTGCATTGCACAGAGCGGATTGAATTCTCCTGCTAATGCACATTTTATGCAAAGCATAGATACAATTTTATTATGAGGATAAATGTATTTTTAACAAATTGAGCATAGCGTTACTTCAGGCAGGACACAATAAGCTCAGCTCACATCCCAGCTACATCAGCTGATCTCAAACAGTCCAATCAATTGATGGACCATTCCCTTCCATCAGTGAATTGATCCATCAGTTCATTGACGGAAGGGAGTCAGCAAATAGATCACCTGATTACTTTCTATGCAACCAATTGCCAAATCTCATTCAAGGCGCCTTACTTAAACTGCTTTGGCCTGCCTCCTGTTGCTGCTTCCCCATCTCCACCCCAGCTCCTCCTTCTTATGTTGTGTCTGACTTATCAATATCATTTCTGTTTGTCATTGATGCTTGCTCTGTTCTGTTCAGGGGGGTCTTTGCTGCTGCTCTCACTGCCTTAGGCTTTACAAATATGCACATGGAAGGGCAGAAAGGCGTGCTCTCTCCGCCTTAGGCTTTCTGCATAGGCTTAGGGAAGGCAGAGAGGCCCCAGAACAGAGCCATTCCACCAAATATAATACTGCAAATGGAAATGAAGTTTTCTTTGACTAGAATGATCTTGACTGAACTAAAACACAGCCACAAATGTTTGATCCATGTTGTTCATACCTGGACTTTTAACATTATTAACTCTGTCTGTAGGCTAAAGGACAACAAAATAGGAAATAATAACAAAACTCACAATTAAAATAGGTTTAAAAATTTTATCTATATATGGTAGAAGCACAAATATTAAAGAAAAATGACCAAATCAGCAAAGTCTATCTGCAAATGTACAAAAACAGGCAGGCAAAATGCTCCACTTCTGAAACACTCCGACTGTGGTATGACACCATGTGGTGGACAGAACAAAAGCAGGGTGCAGCCAAGCTGCACCCAGTGGAATTGTCCCTCCTGTTTCCTTTACAAAGGTGGCAGTGAAGATAACAAAAACAGGGACTACTTCATCTCTTATCATGCCTAACTTTAGTGGATCATAACACATAGGGTGTGGAATCAATCTGCAGATGCTCCAGCTCAAATTGAGACCAAACGTTTTTGTGGATGTCAGTTTTTGAGCCAAGATTAAGGCCAAAATGTGGCCTGCAACAGATAGTAAGGCTTGTTGTTTTTAGGTGAGAAGATTTCTGGAAAACTTGAGGTCCATACCAGCTGGTGAAGAGGAGTGAGAAGTCAGCAATTAAGGATAGTATATCACAGCCAGTAAAACAGCTTTTCAACAATTGTTAATCTCCGCAACCACGAGAGATCTTTGAGCATACAGTCATATGTGTGTACACAAAATATTACACTAAATGGTCCAGTAGCAGGGTTGGGGGAAAAAAATCAATACAGCATTGTATTGCAATATTTTTGTGTGGCAATATTGTATCATCACACAGTGCCAAGTATTGTTTTTTTTATTATTCAAATCATTAATATTGAAAATACAAATCAAACTTTTGGTGGCCTACTAGAATAATATATTGAATTGCTTTTTCAGTCCAGTGGACATATGTGAAGTGAGATCAACAGACTGAAAACTTTACCTTAGTAGATAAAACTGAGGTTTACTGGCTAAAGCTGCAAGTTAACTTTATTATGGCAGCATTGCATATACCTGATTTGTCATCCTTACACAGTTAAAGGAGATTCCAGTTTATTACAACTTGTCTCTTATTTTTGTTATTTGCATGTCATTGACAACAGGAAGTCTGAAGGTACAGCAAACAAGCAGGCAGGTGATCTGACAGGTTGTAAACAAGCCAACAGTCCAGATTATCTAAACAATTATTTGAAGGTCAAAATTAAAGTGAACAAACCTTGGAACTCATGCCGTGCTCTCAGCAATTTATTTGTAAGAATACTGTCTGTCTTACTTGTAGGAATGATGGCCGAAACTACAAAATTAAGACCTAAGTTTTGTATAAGTGGAATTTCATGTTAAATGCTAAGGAAGACAGTAAGGAGGCTAATGTTACTTTATCTGCAAGCAGACTCTGAAAAATACCTGTAGATCTGCATTGTGGTCTGCACTCTAGGTCTAAATTAAAAATAATAATAATAAAAAAATAAAATAAAATAACATTCAAACATGCTATAACTCTGAAATGATTACCAGATATTCTAATATCTGGAACAATGTTTTCAAGTGCTGTAAAAGCGTCTCTCTTTTTTTTTTAAGATTTTTTTTGGCCATTTTGCCTTTAATGGACAGGACAGGTAAGCGTGAAGGGGGGAGAGAGAGGGGGGATGACATGCAGCAAAGGGCCACAGGCTGGATTCGAACCCAGGCCGCTGCGGCAACAGCCTTGTACATCGGGCGCCTGCTCTACCACTAAGCCACTGACGCCCCGTAAAAGCGTCTTTACATCAATTTAAAAATGTAATTTATTAATTTGTGACTGTATGAACTGTGTAAGTGAATACAAGTGTTGTTTAATTCCTTTTGCTGCTGTTGAGCTCTGTGCATGTTTACATAACTCAATACAGTGACTAAAATTAATACATTTAAGTAAACAAAAGGAAAACATTAATTCTGCAGTTTGTTTGTTTGTTTGTCTGTCTGTGTGATAGCCATTGTGTCTGAATGACCTATTAAGGTATTTGAGTAGCAAACGTTTCCATTGATATTAAGGCATAAAAAAAATAATAGTTAGTGATAGACCTCTGAAACACTGGATCCTACATTTCCCACAATGCAACCAATAGTATGTGTTGTTACACAAATGCCCATGTCTTTCAAACTCCATGCACCCAGTTCCTAACGCAGGCTTTTTATAAACTTGTGGTCGTCTATGACATCATCAGGGTTATTTAAGACTTGGCAAAGCTTGGCCAGAACCACAGAGGACATTTTACAACTGTTCCGAGTGCTACTCCCCATGATGAGTAAACACAACTTCATGGTTGAAAAAACCTCAAAACATTAAAGAGAAGAAAAGAAAAAAACTCTCTCTCTTTGCTCTAACTCTCCTACCCAGAGTGCATTGGAGGTTGGTATGTTGCAGACAGGCTGATGGAGAGTACAGTGGTGTCTGGCAGCATCTGAATCCCCCATCACAAAGGTCATCTGTCTCACAGCACCCTAAAGACATCAATAGGAAGAAAAGGTCAGGGGTTATCCATAGCTAAACCACAGGAAGCTTTAAGACCCCTCTCACCACGCAGACTTTTCTCTCTACTTGAAACTTAAGACGAGGTCAGGAGGGTCAGCTGAGGTCTAGATCAGTGCCTGTGCAAAGTCACTGCTGCTGGAATCTTTCCATGCCTTCCTTGTTACAATAACTTCAAGTCTCACAGCTGTGGCAGTGTGGCACACAGAGGATGGCATCCAGACTGTCAGTCAGTGAACACACAGCAATTAGAATTGCTTGTTCTGGGTTCAATTAGGTCTCACTCACAGCTATTTCAGGTCAAATTACTTAATGCAGACTCTTTCACTGCCACACGTGAAAAGTTCATGGTACCAGTGAGTTTCCAATATTAAACCAACAGTTGCAATACACTCTTGAACTCTGGAATTCTTCTAAAGCACAGAGATTAAATATCCCTCATGTTAAAAATAAATACCTTAAAAGGGTTCATTGTGGCAGATCAGGCATGATGAGTTTTACCAAAAATGACAAGTGGAAGTAACAAAGTACATCCATTCAAGTTCTACATTTCATTTTGAGGGGCTTGTATTTCCATTTTATGCTTCTGAACTTTATCCTTTAACTCTACTACATTTCAGACAGAAACTACATGTATATATGTATCTTGCAGCCTTAGTCACCTCTTAAATTAAGGTTTTATACAGAAAACCTATAATGAGTTTATACAGTGGATGATGCACAGGATTGAGCAGCGGAAATGTCTGTCAAGCTTACATATGAGGTGTCTAATAATGCCACATTGTGCACACTTTATTGCACTATAAAATAAATAATCATCACAATCAACAAACCTTTACACAAAATAGAAAACCTGTTCTCTGAATCAATGAATAATAAACCAACCAATCTAATCTCTAAACTACACTGTGGGCCTATGTTCAGCTGCAACAATCAGGCTAAGTACGCTCTCCTCTCCTCTCCTCTCCTCTCCTCTCCTCTCCTCATTCTCCAATCTTTTCCTGTCCGCTTCTTAATTTGTTCTTCTCCTCCTTTCTTTTTGGCACTGCCACATGCTAACTGTTATAATCATTTAAATAAGATTTAAATATTGTTTAAGAATCCCAGAGAACAGAAACAAGCAGCCCTGCACTCCTCCTCCGTGCTCTTGATGCAGCACAGCCCCAAACTGCATGTCATTTTTGTTTAAATTAATTATCAGAGATGCAACGTGGGAGACAAAAAATATTATTTCAGGTTGATATTTGGATCAAAAAAAACACACAGAAGTGGGAAAGCAAGTCGGCTCACACCGGGTAGTTGGTGACATTTAATCTGAAGGGAGACAGTGGGGTTTCATGCCAAGCTAGCTTACTTGTTGCTAATGGTGGGTTATTGCCTAAATTAGACTGGCTGTATTAAAAAAACTGGTCTTCCAGTTTCCCTCATTGAGTGATGAATACAGACTACCGCCATCTGTTGGTGTGAAGAGTTATTTCCTCTCATAACAGCACAGAATATACGTGTTGAGTGGCTTTCTGCTGTAGTCTTTGTGGTGTGTTCATGTGTTACTTTTTGGCCGAGACACGTTGACGTCAGGTGATGCAGCAGGGAGCCTGTGTCGCCACTGGTTCTCTGTCGGTTTGGTGTGTCTGGGCCTTAAGAGCAGAAGTCTGTAACTGAGTGAGCGCTGCCAGTTCCCGAAAGCCCTAAAAAAGCTCTCTGGCTTTTCATACATGGTGAAGCCATGTACTGGGCAGGACTTTTGCATTGCTACTTTTACTAAAATACATCTTTAGAACACCTCTCCCACCTTTGACAGTTTCTCATTTGAATATTACTCTGCTGGTGTTTGCACAATTTGTTATGTCAAATGTGTTCTTTAGCAAGACTTGATCCTTCCTGCATCTGGATGATTTACAGAAAATAACACAAAGGGTGATCCATCTTTCTAAAGTGACTTACATACACTTAAGTTACAGGGAACACAAGCTTTCTCCACTGACACCATGTGGCAGGGAAAATCTGTGAAATTAATTCTTCTGCAAAAACTATGGGTTAGGACTAAGCAAACACTACAATGTGTGGTGCAGCTGTTACATGAACAAGAAATATATTTCCATACTTCAAATGGCATCTCAAAGCCCTCCAGGCTGCCTCCGATCATCAGCACGCCATCAGTGGAGATGCCCTGCCAAGGATAGGCCCAGTTCACCCTCTCCACTAGAGAACAGTCCACATAAACCTCCAGCCAGAGCTGGGAGACACCCAGAGATACCTGGTGCCAGCGACCATCACACAAAGACTCCACAGTGAACCTAGATTTGATTGAGGCAGGAGAGAAAAAGTCAAAGAAAGGAGACATTCAGCAATCAGTGAGGGCTCTTACTAAACTTTTGGCCATTATTTCCTCTGGTTATGATGACTTTATACTACCTATCATAATTTCTGAGATTTGGGAACATGTATGATACCAGATTTTTGCTTTATGTTAATTTCTTAATGTCCATTTTTACTTAATTAAATATGCAATCTAGGTAACCTGTGACTCTACAAATGACACAACAAGGCTGACCAGGATCCTGCTTTAGCTGGTTAACTATATTCAGTCATACAGTGTGCACATGCAATACTTCATCATAGTACAGTAGAGGAGTCAGTGTTTAGCTGGTGGTCAGATGTACTCGTATTCTCTGTGTTGGGTGGAGATGAAGGTGAGGGACTGTGGGCCGAGGCGGAGCTGCAGGTGGATGTGATGCTGGGAGTTTAACAGAGTCACCACACTGCTCTCCTCCTTCTGAGAGCTGCGCAACTCCATCAGCACACTAAACTCATCAGAAAACCTAAAGGAAAGATACACACAGTCAGAAAAACATGTACACTCACATACACACATTTGAAGAAGCACTGTGGTGACACATATGCCTATAAACACAAAGACATACATACAACGAGATATAAAGTTGTGGGGAAATATACAGTGCCGTTTTTAAAAAAAAGTAATTTAGAGACTTAAATTAACGGATACCATAGCTTCATATGTCTCATAAATAAGAAGTTCAATATTTTTGGAAATAGGCTTATTCTCTTTCTATCAATCTGCATCTGTGTGTTGTAAGTATTGAGCTGGAGTCAGGATGCCTGTTAGCCACGCTTAGTATAAGAACTGGAAGCAAGGGGAATCAGCTTGCCTGATTCTCCTCAGAAACCACCTATCAACATATATAGGGCTGCAACTAACTATTATTTTCATTGTTAATTATCTTGCCAATTAATGTGATTACTTACTTAATCACTTGGTATATAATACATCAGATATTTCTCAAGTGACTTCTTCAAATTGCTCCTTTTATCCGACCAGCAGACCCAAAATATTCCCTCTACTATAGTGTACGACAAGGTAATGCTGCAAATGGTCACATTTGGCAAGCTGAAACTATCACATTCAGGCATTTTTGCTTGACAAATACTTTAACAATTACTAGATTTAAAAAAAAAAAAAAAAAAATAGCGATTTAACAACAAATCCATTAGTCTCCTGAAAGAAAATAGTTTCAAGTCGAAACAACAATGTTGGTTAACACTTTACTTGAAGGTATCTACATAAGAGTGATATGACCTTGAATGAAATTGTCATAAACATTATGTACATGTCATAAACGTTCATGACTGCTGTCATTAAGTGTCATTTGGTTTTTGTAATGACAAGTTGACATTAATCAAAGTGACATTACTAGAAGTAGTCTTTGTCATGACAACTTGACATCAACAAGAAATGCACCTCTTTTTGTGTTTATGACAAGTTGACATAATGATTATTATTGTCATGACAAAGACATCGTCTGGTAATGTCATCCTGGTTAATGTCAAGTTGTCATAATAAGGACATCCCAAACAAATTTAATGTCAACGTGTCATGACAAAGACATCTTCTGGTAATGCTACTTTAATTAATGTCAAGTTGTCATAATCAGGACAACCCAAACAATGTCAACTTGTCATTACAAAAACCGAATGACAATTAATGACAGCAGTCATAAACGTTTATGACATGTACATAATGTTTATGACAAGTTCATGACAGTGTCATGTCATAGTTATGTAGATAAATTCAAGTAATGTGTTACCCAATGTTGTTGTACATTAATGTCAAAAAAAGAACAAAACAGCCAGAGCCAAGAGAGCCAGACTGGCTGTGCCCCCCTACTTCTAGTCTTTATGCTAAGCTAGGCTAACCACATTAACTCCAGCTCTGTACTGAACACACAGATATGAGAGTGATATCCATCTTTTTGTCACACTCTCAGACAGAAAGCAGAGAATTCCCCAAACTTTGCAGAATGTATCTGCTGAAACACATTTAGCAAAGAAAAAAAAGTATAGTACCTTGGTCTGAACGCCTGCTGTGTGGCCATCATTAAACCGGCATAAAGGCCGATTTGGAGAGTTGGACACATCTGACTGTCCACCAGTAGGGATACATTAGTGGTGTTGACAACCATCTGAGAGAAGTGCTGCAACAAATCCACTTTCTCTGTTGAGAAACCAAAGCAACACTGTGAGGTGGTCACTGGTAGCTTGAGTTTCTAACAAGCTAAAGACCAAGAATTTTGTGATGAGTTGGTGGTGATCAAACCAGAGATTAGAGATGAAAATAACAGAATTACATTCTTCGGGTGGCTAGGATCAGTGTTTCTAGTCCTTGGGACAGATGCATGAACAATGTGTATGCACAAAAACAGAAATGGTGAAACTGCATTTTCTTCAACGGATTTCTCATTGACATTTTTCATTGTTCACTGTCATACTGCCAACCCTTACTGAGACACCTGAATAGAGCAGAGCCATTGTTGATGTTAAAATATTTGTATCAACTATGCTTCTTCTTTTAAAAAGAAGAAAAAGGGCTATACAGCTTTAAATTTCTTAATTTAATAAACGTCTGTACTCAATGAAAAAATACATACTAAACAGAAATGTATCAATGTGAACAATCAAAAAGTGAGCATACAAGAACATAGGTATCATTTTAAATGATGAAACAATTAAAAATGGCAGGGACAAAAATGACAGGATCCTTAACCTAGCATTTTATTGCACAACCTTCTGAGGCAATCTCTGCAATCAAACATTTTCTGTAGCTATCAATGAAACGTCTGCACCTGGTAACAGGTAGTCTGGGCAAACTGCTCCAGCTGTCTCAGGTTTAATGGGTGCCATTTTCCAGACTGCAAGTTTCAGCTCTTCTAAAGATGTTCAATTGGATTCAGCTCAAGACCCTGACAGACACTTCAAAATGGTCCGATGTTTTGTTCTTATCCATTCTTGGGTGCTTTTAGCTGTGTTTTGGATTATTATCCTATCGGAGGGTGCACGACCTGTGATTAGGAGAGAGCTGACTGGGGAGCACATTTGGCCCCAAAATGTCTAAAGTTTTTATTTGGCCCTGCAAAGATTCAATGCACCCTGTGCCAGGCACAGCACAGCACCCCAAAAACATTACCAAGCCTCCTCCATTTTCAAAGCTTCATTTCCCCATCTATGAACATAGTGATGATGTGAGGTGCCACTAGGCTCCAAGTTCAATTCATCTGTCCAGAGGTCATTCTCCCAGAAGGACTGTGGCTTGTCAATATGCATTATAGCAAATTTCAGTCTCGCTTCTGTATATTTTTCTTTTAAAAATGGAGTCTTCCTGGGTTGCCTTCCAAAGGGCGCACTAGTGCAATTAGAACCTGATGCACCTTGACCTTGGATCTCAGCTTGTAACTCTTTGGCAGTTATCCTTGGTTCTTTTACTACCATTCACACTTTCCTTCTGTTCAATCTGGGGTTGATTTTGCTCTCCGGCTGCGCCCAGGGAGGTTGGCTCCAGTTCCACGGACCTTAAACTTCTTAATAATATTTGTAACTGTTGTCATGGGAGCATCACGCTGCATGAAGATGGTTGCGTAGCCTTTACTTTTACACTGCTTGTCTATTAGTTTTGTTCTGGTCTCCTCAGACAACTCTCGCCTTTGCTTTCTCTGGCCCATGTTGAGTGTGGTGCATGCAATCATACCAAACAGCACAGTAACTACTTTTCTTCATTAACATAGGCTGAATGACTTCATTGGAGAATTGCATTACTAATTAAAGAGCCTGATCAGTTCGAAATATCACTATATTCCAATCATTTATCATCTTCCTCTTACCCCCTACTTTATATGGGGTAGCCAGGGTTCGAACTATAAACTGAGCTTCGTGGGGGTCTCCAAAATAACAGTGCAAAATAACTCAATTCATGCCCACACAGCGATGGGACTTACAAATTTTAATCAGCCGTATAGAGCTCCGGACGTCACGTGACTCGGTTTGTTTACACCACCATGTTGGCAGTCCTTGAGTGAAAATTACTGGCGCCAGTGCTGATTTCAGGTCGTCAGAGTTCACTTCGCACGTTAAAGCCCCGGAAATTGTGCGATATATCACAGAACTTGACCGATTAATCACAGCTGACCCTTACAATGCCCCCGGGATGCTTTTCAGGAGTATTGAGACAGCCAGAGCGGACAATTTTCCAATATTGCAGTATCCCGACATCTACAATTACTTGATCAACTCTCCCTTGTCCTACTCCGGAGATTCTCTGAAAGCCTACAAGAGCCTGGAGGGGTACAAACAGATACAATCTGGCAGCCTTACATATAATGGTAATAAAATAATTTAAGTAATTTTCTTATCGCAAGTTTGTTTTGCGCTGCTCATTGAGTGAGCAACATCCTTTTACTAGCTCTGCAAAATCCACACCATAATTCAAAGGTCAAACTTGCCTTTTATGAAAATTAAACGGTTAGAAATCGCAATAAAAGCATGTAAAATAAACATTTAAGTTAGCGAGCATCGGATTCTGTACCTGATATGAAGTGATCACTACACAAGCGGAATCCGTTGCCTGTGGGCTCCCACAGCTCAGTTTTCTTCTGCTAGCTTCGTGCACATTTTATGGCAGTAATCCACCTCGCCGTCTTTCGGGGTGTTTCGGAATTAGATAAAATGCTCTCCTCTTCACGTATCGACTGTTCTGACACCCCGGGGCACAACAGCTGTCCACCATGTTCACATTTATATGAATACAGCCCGAAGAAGAGACGAGTTAGCTGTTTGCGGGCCTATGCTTGGCAGTCAGTTGAACAACGCAGTTTCCTGCCAATATGGTTGTGTTTTGATTTTGACTGTTGCATGCCGGGATTATGTGCTGTCAGCTACCGGAGCTCTATTTCTCTAGAGCTCTATATCACCAAAGATACTGGTTTATCCACCGTCTTTGATTTCACCACATCTACAGCACATAAAACAACACAGATAGGCTATAGGCCTACAGCGCCCCATGGTGTCTTGGCACTGTAACTGCAACCAAAGGCCTGTCATTCACGGGAGAACATTGTCGTTCTTTAGGAAAACATGTCCTTATTTTGGACTAGTTATTTATCTCGCTAAAGTAAATACTAATTACATTGAAAAATACATAGTTTGTGATAAAATAGTGGTTGTTAATGTTTTGTTAGAGACCCCTGCAGATGTATGGTTTCACAGCTTTCATGGGAGCTAATGCCCTCTTTATGGGAGCTCAGCTCCCACTGGCTCCCACATAGTTCGAACCCTGGAGGTAGCAACAAATGTGTCCAGGCCATTAATTCATCTCTTTTCATAACTTCTTTGCTTTATTCTACAACATACCAAAGGTTAACAAGTTCACATGACAAAACAGCTTTTAATTTCATCACTTTTTAGGAGGAATGGAGCATTATGTCAATGAGCTCTAAGGGTAACAACAAATTTGAACGTGTATGTAGGTGCTTTCATTTCAGGTAGCAATATATGCTCTACTCAGGGCTGTCCTGCTGTTTTCAGGTTTGGTAATGCTCTCAGAAAGATGCTTGAGATCCTGGAAGCCTGTTCTTAACCAGGCACCATGCCCTCTGAATAACACACAGGAAGCAAAAGAAGCATCTTTTCTGACAAGGTCGCAATTAACCATGTTATCCTGGACAACCACTCTGTATTAAATCTGCAATGATGTTATACCAGCAGTTTGGTTTATAGCTTATCCTATGGCTGGTGGATATTGAGGTATGTAATCTCAAGATTATCTTCAAAAGGCAGACTTTTAAATTTGTGCTATAGAAGATAATCCATATTTTTCATTGTGATGTCGTACTATCTTCTTTACAAGAAATACTAACATCTGAAAACTATGAGCAAATTTTGACAATCCATTCATCCATTTCATTTGTTTATCCTGGTCCGGGTCTTGGGAGCAACAGGCTGAGGTAAGTACCCCAGGCATTCCTCTCCCCAGGTCCTCCTGGGGGATCCAAAGGCGTTCCCAGGCCAGATGAGATCTATAATCCCTCCAGGGTGTTCTGGGTCTGCCCCGGGGCCTTCTACCAGTTGCATGTGTAGCATCAGAGCTCAAATGCAGAAAGCATGCACGCATTGTATAAAGGCAAATCTTTGACTGGGGGCATGGAATGATGTGAGGTAAGTGATCCGAGGATCTGAGGGGTCTGAATGTAGAATACAAGCTGGTGACCAGTGAAGAGAGGGAGTGCACTGGAGATAAGGTCTCTGTTCTTGACAGTGAAAAGTCTCGCTGGAGCATTTTGAACCAGCTCCTGGCAAGCCTGTGAAGACCGACCCACAAATGAAGATTTATTCAGTGATAGTTTAAGTATTTTAAATATGTATTGGGAAAATTTGCCAAAAAAAAAATACAGTGGGCACTGTGAATGTTCAATGTACAATTTTTGTTATATTAGGTAAATAAACTGCCACAGTAGCTTCACCATCAACTCATCCTCTGACTTCTGACCCTTGAACTTTTGCTACATGCCACAGCCTAGGCAGCAGTTCACCATGGTGTGGCAGTGGAATCAAACACAGACAGTAAGGGCTCATTATTCATTTCTCACTTAATGAGCTAGAGCTCAGCAGTTCACTAACAGCAGGGAATAAAGAAAACCCATGTACTATCACTGCTGAGGAACTCCACAGTGAGTCAGCAGCACTAACAGCATATATCTGCATTCACAGAGTGTTGTAATGTCAAAATGTTGTTTCATTCATCACAGCAAAGATATGGAGAAGACAAGTCCATCAGTCAAATCAGTAACTCTCACCCTATACACACTGCCACAAGTTGCTACATATAACTCATCATTCAGCATTCACACTTTGCTTCATGTTATTTTCCCTTTATTATTCCGTTTCTAGATGTAGTCACTCCACTCTCTGAAGTTCTTCTTCAGCATACTGTCATCTACAGACTTCATTTAAACTTAAACCGGGTCGCAAGACTTTGAACTATTAAAATTACTTGGCTTTCGTTATATCTTTTCCCATGCATTGGTGTTCAGCCCCTTTCTCGGGCAATGCATTTCAGCTGTCAGATCTTTAGGGCCATGCTTTTTCTTGTTCCAAATATTTAGCAATGCAGGTCATCTGTCTGCTGTTAATACAAAGCATTTCTTCTTTGTTTCAGGTAATTAATTT